ACAGCAAATTTAATGCTTTTTTTTTAGTTAAGCAGATATGAACTTGTTGAGTGTGCTGACAAGGTGGCACACGCCCATTTTTAACTGTCTTGAAATAAGAAAACATTGTCTTACAATAAGGGTGACTCATCTAGAAATGTAGTTAAGATCAGGCTAATACAAAATATCCTAAAATATTTCCATTAGGACTGCTGCCCTCGGGGTAGGTATCTTTGAACTCTAGTTCTAGCATGTAAACTTTAAATGGTGCTGCTCAGTAGAAGATTGTAACTCAGTCTTTCTTTCTTCCTTCTTTTTCTTTTCTTAACGGCATTTCCTCTGCAATGACCTTTTCACAAGAGTGTGCATTTGAGGATTGGATATTTTGCCCTCACATTTGGCTAAATAAGCGCCTGCTGATGTAGACGCAGTTATGTTTTGCAAGCAAAATATCATAATGCCTTCAAACTGTTCATGACTGTTGGGAGCTACATACCGTGTTTTGTTTTATATGAAGAACATGCATGGCTTTTTCTGGGGGAAAAAAACCAACCCAAAAAAAACCCTGACATAAGCCTTTTTCATCAACCAATGAGTATCTTATTGGAGGTATGCTGTATTTTCATGGGCACACACATTAACCATAGTCTGTTCTCTGCTCTGAGGCAAAGAAACAGACTGGCTGGTGGGGATATACTCCTCAGAATAGTTACTGTCAGGCGAAAACAACCCTCTGCCTTATCTTCTACCACAAAATCTTCCTCTCCTTGTATACTAATATTGGCAGGGGCAGTGTCAAGTTTGGCTTTTGGGTTTTGTGGTTAGAGAAAAATGTGGAATGGTAAACAAAAAAATTGTTAGATATTTTTGGTTACCTGTGTTTTATGAATAACAATTTCAATTCATTCTGTTGAGCATAAATTAACTAACTGCTTGGCAGTAGTTATTTCATTTTTCTTGTGTTTACAGTGATAGAAACATCTGTTATGAAATACTAAAAATGCCAGGGAGAAGCATAGTGAATTTCTAGACCAGTCAGGCCATTGCTATGTAGAAAGTGAAAATGGAATTCATATAAATTAATTTACTATTTTGGATTCACTACAGACTTCAAAAGTATTTTGATGAATAGGATGTGCTTCCAAAATAGTAGGAATCATATTGACAGACCAAGAATGGCGTGGTGTGAACATGTGTTTAGAAAAACAAGTGTATGTATACACGTATATGTGCAATTAAGAGAAAAAATTCATGTCTGTAGGCTAAATACTGTTTTCCATTTAGATGCATTTTCTTTCATATGGTATTAATGCTCTATGATATATTTATGATCTTTATTCAAACAAAGTATTATTTTAATTGCTGCTGTTTGTGGCCTGCTTTTCAGGGTAAACTTTTTAAGTTCTTCGTTAGATTACACTTAATACATTATCTAACTAACATAGTTCCATAAACATGCACACATCTTAATATACAATTTGAGTGAGATCCTAGGATAAAGACTGTAACAGGTGTTACTGGATAAGGTGGTGTAAAGCTTTCAGGATATCAAAGGGAGGGCATAGAAAAATGGAAAATAAAGTTTTCTGCTGGAGAGAGAAGGAGATTTAATTGAACAAATTCTGAAATCCTGTGTCAAAATTATCTTTAATAAAGAAAATTTCCTGATAAAGAACTTAAATGTATAACCTAACAGAATCTGGCAGTGTAAAGTTTTAACTGTTTTTAATTTGTGCAAAAAATATGCTCTGAGTGGATGTTAAATGTGAGGCAGTAGGGGGAGGGTTACCTTATAATTAGGTAAAGCTGGAATGAAGCTGAGAGTAAATGGGAGACCTGTATGGGGAAGAGGAGATTTCCAGAGAAATAAGAAGTTTAAACTAAGAAGAGGAAGAGGAAGCCAAAGCAAGATAGAGATTTTGATAGGTAATGTAATAGTGAGAAAGGGGGGAAAAAGAGTTGGGCAGATGAAAAGGAAGGTATGGTGTGAAAGTAGGGGAAAAAAAGCAGAACAGCGGTGCATGGCAGGAGGCAAAGAGGTAATAGCCAAAAACTGAACTCAGGGGAGTTCCAACGCAATAAAAGGAAAAACTTTCTCACTATGAGGGCAGTCAAGCAGTGAACAGGTTGCCTGGAGAGGTTGCACAGTCTCCCTCCTCAAAGGTATTCAAGTGCTAGGGGCATAAGGGGCTGAGCATTCAGGCCTGACCTCATGGGTGATTGTGCTTTGAGCAGGAGTTTGGACTAGAGATCCTGAGGTCCCTTCCAGCCTGAATTATCCAACAATCTGATGAAAAACAAAATTTTGTTAGTTGAGTATTAAAATTCTTTGTGACATGGCCATGACATGGATTTCCAGAATTACTGTTTTGTTCACCCAAACAGACTTCTGAGGACCAGGAATGAAATGCTGCATGCCATTAGCTTTACTGGCAGTCAGCAGAACTCATGAACTCCATGGGGTTTGAGCCAGCACTTCAGCTGTGCTCACTGGGTTCAGTGTGATCACACCGAGTGACAGAGAGCTCCATCAGCTTACTGGAGGTGGGACACAGGCAGTCTTGGGGAGGAAGGCTCTGCTCAGCCTTCCTTCCCACAATACAGCAAAGGTGCAGACTGTCTAAATTAATGCATACATCTTTTTGGCCACTTGAAACAGTTGGGGTTTAAATGGAAATTAAGTTTTAAACTTCGTCTAGAACAAAGCTGTTGCTTTGCTATGATGATTTCATAATAAAGTTTCCATCTTTATTAATTTTTCTTGATCATTTAAAAGAATGTAGGATGTTTTCAGTGTGTCTATTATCATTATTTTTTTCATACTTTATTAGTAGACTTTTCCCTATAACATTGCATTCCTTCTCCAGATTAAAAATAAATTTTTTTCACACTTCATTCAATTTTGCTTTCTTCTTTATTAAATTCAACCTGCAAATCTTAGTTGCTTTTTCAGTAGTCATCTCTCGCATTTACATTACAGGAAATTAGAGGTTTAAGGGGCCTGGGGGAGCAGTGAGATGGGATTTTATAGTTGCAGTCTTTGAGCAGCCTCTTATGAGGTTACTTTTGACACTTGCTATTGATAACTGACTTCTTTTTAAAAAGAACCGTCTGAGCATAAGTTATGGTGCCTTTTTGGATTCCACAGCCTTCTTCCACATGTGGATTTTTGTAATAGCTTCAATCTGACCTTCTTCATTAAATTCCTTAGTTCAGTAGAATCTGAGTTCTTGAAATCTGATATGCCAGACTGGTTTATTGTGTATGTCTATCTTATATCTGCAATGTAGCTGCATTCCGTGTACTGTACTAAATTCAAGTGGCTCTTGCTCTGATTTCAATCTACCCACCCGTTTCTTTCTGCTGATAAGAAATTAATTCAATATGGTTTCCCAGTGACCCATTTTTTAGACTGTAAAGTTATTCTGTATTAAGTAGAAGCCAACTCTGATGCACGTTCAGTGTATTTTTTTGCCCAGTGAGTCTATGGGAAGATAATTTCTCTCACAGTTGTGGTATCCTGTGATTTTCAGCCCTGGCCATGCATTTTTTTAATTCTCGCTTTCATCTGGTTGTGCTGGTTTACATGCAGATGTTTATTGTTCTCTCTCTTTCTTCCCCCTCCCCATTCTTGCTAACTTAATACAAAGCCAGTTGCTACCATTATTTTCATAGTCACGTTATAAATATTAGACATAATAAATGCCCATGATTCGTAAAATCATTGAAGTTGTCTTTTGGGATCCTTAGTGGTTAATTCACTTGTCCTGCTCACAAAAAGTGGTTTAAAAATCACAAGTCACTTTCCAATAATGTTAACTGCAGCAGCTTTAAAACTAATTTTCAGGTCTGTATGTATTTTTTTGTGAAGAAGCTTTTACAAAACAGGAAGATATTTACTTAAGTAATGCCTCTGATTGAACTTATTGTGTGGTATGCAATTATAAAACAAAACTATCCACATGCAACAAATATGTATCTTTGGATTTGTTTGAAGAGCAGTTAGGCCATATTTTTATAATTTTTTTTTATGTCTTTCACAACTAATTTATTTTGTGGTGATGTTTGGTGTATTTCTGTCTCTGAAGCTTCATTGAAGTCTGCTTTAAACATAATTAGACTTTACATTTATGAAATTTCTAGCTGCTTATGGAACGGCTACCCAAAAGACATTGGAAATATTATATTTTGGTCTGCATATTAATTCAACATCGAAATGATAAAATCCTGAATTAGAAGTGAGAGTTCCAGACTTGAATTATTTTTACTTGTTTGCTTAAAGAAAGTGTTCACTGAATCTTGAAACTGTAGTCAATGAGAGAAGATACTTATTTTCTGAAATATTTGCTTTATTTATCAGATCAGGCAATAACTTGAAACTACTGTTCTTGTTATCAACAAAATACTATATTTTTCACCCCACTAGTGAAAGATCTGAGAAGTTGCCTGTGCCAATATCTTTGTCATTGACTCTGCAGCTTCTATGATACTGAGGTGAACAGTTGTATCTGCTGTCTCCCTGAACAGTTTCTTCACTGTTTTTCTTTCTTCTATATGGAGTATATATTGCTGGGAAGAAGATTTATGCCCTTTCCTGGGTTTTTTTTTCTTTTCTTAATATTCCTGACACTGCATTTATTGATTTATCGAAGTGAGAAGTGGTATGAAGTTTCCAAAATGTTTTCTTGGTGTCATCTTGTGTCAGTAATGTGGACCTGAACAAACACCTTTTCATAGAAGTCCCTTGTTTAAATAGGCTTTACTGACAGGCCTTCGGTGATGTTTTCACGTTCTACAAAATAATATAAAATATAATATGAATTTTACATTTGAGATGTAAGTTACATAAATTAAGTAGTTACATTAACTGTGCCTTGAAATAAGTTGTCTTAAATTTACAGCTGTTGAAAAGATTCTGTCAAGAGACAGCAGTATATGCATTGTAGACCATGTTTAGCAGATTAATAATTTTGATTTATTTATCTTTGCGTGAAATATTAAGGCTTTTTTCTTGTTCACAGACAAGCTATCACAACAAGTTTGTGTTACTACCTATGTGAAGGAAGATATGGCACAAGTAGGTTTTCTCCTTCATGAATCTCTGAAAAGCCAAATAAAAGTAAGTACAATTCTATGGTTCTAAACTGTATGATTACTTTAATGTTTCTTGTTGTCACAACTCATAAGAAATGGTATAAATAATGTGAATACAGAAACAGACCTCCTTTGTCACTGTAGTATTTATTACAAGGGATTAACACCAGGTGTGGAAGATACCAAGAAAGAAGCATCCTCTGCCCAATTATGCTGTAGAGGGGGATCTTACAGATCCTCTTAAAATTTATATATTAGATTAGAGCAGAAATTGGATCCAGGCATCAGAGAGGCCATTTTCTCTAGGTTTTATGAATTCAGTAAGCCCAAATTGTTACAAATATGTTACAGAGGAAATGCTTTTGGTACTTTGAAGTCTGAATTAAAGTCTGAACCAATTAAGGCGTAAGTTGTATTCTTGCAGAGCTGCAAGTGCAAATTCAAATTAATCTGCCTTTTTGCAGAAAGGTAGGGGTGTATTTTACTCATAGTGAGCACCCACTGAAGCCTTTTGCTGTAGGATATTGATGGAATTTTCTGCAGGCATTTAACTATCTTTTCTGTTTTCAATATTCCTACTAATAGAACTATCACATATTTTCATTTTCCCAAAGGTGATTAACATTTGGTAATTGCTTAAATCTTGACTGATTTTAGGGTGATTGTTAATTATATCTTATGTGGTGATATCACATTTTCTATTACCCAGAGAAACAGAGTGGGAATAGCTGTTCAAAAATACAGGTTTCCTGATTTGCATAATATCACTTCTGTATATGGTTTTATTCATGCCTGTTGACACAAGCATTGTGTGCTTAGTTAATAGCAGGATGTTCTTCTGTAGCAAACTGTATTGCTATTTTATATCTAGAAATGTTATTTGACATTGTGCCTACAGGTTTTGTTTGGAAAGAATTGCATTTAGTATGAAAAATTATGCTTTATATCTGTTAAATGTCTATATTTAAAAGTGCAAAACACTAGCAGAGTTGAGTAAGATCTTTTCTTGTCTGAATAGCTGTATAATGGAGCAGAAGTATATTTCCATTTCGTTAAAACCAAATCCATTGCTGTTTTTCCTTTTTTCTCTCCATTTAAACTGTTGTGCAATTACTAGACATCACTTGCTCGTGCTAGGAAAAAAAAGTACTTATTTAAGTGTTGATTTACCTGCATTGCTATATTAGGTTTGCATATTACCACTTTAATCATACCCTGAGAAACGCTTCCAAATCAGTAAATAAAGTCTAAGAATGCTCTTTTCAGAGAGTGAATTGGACTATAATTGGTCTAAGTAAGACTCTAATTGGGAATCACTCAATCAAGTACATATCTGAAATTTAAACTTATTACTATCAATATTTTAATATTTTAGATAGTTTTGCGTAGGATACTAACATGCAAAATAGAGTAAGAATTAATGTTAGTTAACTGATGATGTATTGAAGCATCTGGTGAAGCAGCTGTGCTTACTTTACCAAAAGAGAAATCTGTTTTAATTTTTGCTAGATCATATGGCTGTAAAACAAAGGCTTAGTGTGCTGCTTTATCATATGTACAACTTAAAATCAAAACTTTGATAAACTAATTCAGTTTTTTTAAATGTTCAGGAATACTTAAGCATCATGTATTGTAATATCTCAGGAAAAAAAACCCCGTAGGCCTTCTCTCTTGAGTAATGCTCCATTTACCTTCTGAAAAGACTGGCATGAAGTATGCTCCTGATCATTTGAGTATGTGCAACGTTGTAAAGGTACTAGGGATTTCTGATTTGACTTCTGCAGAAGTTCAAACCAGGAGAGCCCTTGAGTGTTGCATTTATTAAGTAATATAATTAATTCTTGCCTTCTGTGATTTTTTGATTTTTTTAGATCTCATTAAGATATTAAATGTCAGCTATTCGGGGCTGTGTTATCCAATTTAGAGCCCAAAATGTTTCTGAAGTCTTTAGTGCATAAATATCAACCTTTGGGTTTTAAACCATATTCCTTTGCAAACAAGTTAGCTCCCCAAGTATTACAAAAATAAACAAATACAGTGTTAGATAACAGTGCAAAGCCTTTTTAAATGTTGTATTCGGTACTTCTGTTGGAATGTGGGTTAAGTGACATTTTGAGAGAACACAGGAGTGAGTGCTTCTGTTGTTTGCTGTTACATATAATATCTTCTGGGCAGAAATAAAGCTTATTTGAGCAGTGGAACAGTGAGGTTTGCTGATTTAATAGAAGCAACATGAAGATTTTTTTTTTTCTTTTTTTTGCGTTATTTTCAAGATTTTCTTACTGGCTTCAAAGTGTTATCTTCTATTAGGGAACAATTTCTAGTTCTGCTACCTGGTTTGCTGTTTTACTTGTGGCAATCCTGAAGCTGATGATGTAGTAGAACCTACTTGTTATTTTAATTAGGATAAAGTAATTTCTTAGCTGGTGTTATACTTACAGGTTGCAAAATAAGCATGTCTGTGGTTAAGACAGTATTTTGAAGTATGCATTGAGGAAGTAATTTTCAGGAGAAATTCTAAATGAGTCTTGTCTTGTGCAGAATCCCAGAATAGGTCCTTTCCAACCCTAACCATTCTATGATTCTATGATAATACTGGCTTTTCATATGTACTTACTAACCTTTTTTTTTTTTTTTTAGTTGCATGAAGAAAAGATATATATGTATTTGAATATTATAGAGATTTTCTTAGAACTAGAGGTCTAGAATCGTTTGATCATCTTGATCCTATGAGCAGTGTTTTCATCTCTGGGAACAGTTGTACTTCCTAACCCAGGCAGCAGTTCTTGTGTCTGGTATTTCCTGGACTGTTACTGGAGTGGCTCCATCAGCAGTATTCTTCAGTAAAAACTTGCAGAAAAATCTGTGGGGTGTTGGACTCCATGATTCACTGTTGAGTCACCTAAAAATTTGAGCAATTTTAATTCTCATAGTGGAAATAATAATTGCCAGTTTCAAATCATTTGAATGAACAAACTCAGCCCTAAGGGTGGATGCTTTAACAGATATTTGAGGCTAAAGTGAAATTTGTGACATAGCAATTTTTTATTTTTATTTTTTTTCTGATTAGGTTGAAGCTGTATCAATATCTCTAAGCAAGAGTGATAGCCATCTACAAGACATCTTTTCAGGAGAGTGCTACAATTTTGTTTGTATAAATGTAAGTATTAAGGATGCATGCTTTTAGTTTTGCACTTAAACTTACTAGTAACGGTAAATAATAATTACTTGTTTGAATAGTTGGTTGTTATTTCTGTCCTCTTGGTATATCCATTCCAATACTTGGTGCTTCTCATGTGCACCAAATTAGACGTTTGACATAGACCAATATCTTTGAGGTACTGGCTCATTCTTTCTCTCCTCGTTCTGCACTTTTGTCAGTATGTTGTTAAACCAGCTGTGAATTCTTGAACAAGAAGAATTCAACTGAAATTAAAGTTTAAAATTTCCTTTCATAGATACTGTACTGAAGTGAATGATCTCAAGAAGAGGCATGTCATATGTGTAGTCATCCAACTGTGCATTGTCACCATGGTCTAAGTTAGTGTTTCCCATTTTGGACACATGCATGTCATACAAATCTGTGTTTGGGTCCATGTATGAGAACAGGAAGGTTTTAGGTGAACCGTATCTGAGACTGGTCACGACCTTTAAGCTTGTTACATATATATTTCTTAAGGGTAGTGTTAGTAATCTCAATTTTTTTCTAACAGCTGTAACTTTGCCAGACGAAAGTTTTACAAATACATTAAAACTGACCAAACAAAAACCCCCAAACCAATAAGTGATATATCTATTTTTGCTATATAACAGATCTTTGAATTCAATTTTTATTAAATAATCATTTGATGTTTCAGTAATTCTTAAGATTTATTTTCATTTAGGATAAAAAGTATGCCATTGAAGAAACCCAGCAACTAGTGGATATGTTGGAAAAATCAAATATTCCCCTGTTATATCCAGTCGTCCTTATTTTGGTAGGTAACTCCTGTAAGATACTGTAGAAAGCATCTAGTGAAATATTTTTAAGTGTTAGATTAGGTTTGAACTGCTGCTAGCTTGGAATAAAATTGTAAATTTGAACTGTAACTTGGATTATAAAGAGCCTCATTTGCACTTCAGCAGATGTGCTGCATGCTGTCAGGAAATAAACCAGCACTAGCAAATGACAATTTATTAGTTAGGTATTTCTGTGAAAGGCTCATTGTGGCTAGTCATATTGAACTGCTAACTCCTGCTTTGCTGTTGTGCTCCATCTCTGCTGGGGATGCTGCAAACGATGCAAAAAAAGTTGAAACAGAATTAGGCAGCTTTATATTTTTCTGTGCTGTGTGGTTTATTCAGAGTTTTAAAATTATTGTTGCTTTTCTGCTGCAAGTGTTAAAAAATAACTTTGAAGTACTTTGCAGTATAACTTTAGTACATACTTTACTTATTGAGATGTAAGACTGAAAAATCTATACTGGTATGTGGCAAAAGTTTTAAATTGTATTTTGGCTGAAAGTCTCATTATTTTAATATTGCAGCCAGAATAATTTAACAATTCATGTGGATGACAGCTGAAGGTGTACATTACTTTTATTTTACTCACGCTGTTAAAAAGGAGAAAATAGGAGTCAGTTTGAAAGTCTTCAGGCTGTGTAAGCAGATCCAGATAATTCTTTTTTTCTGTCATGTTTTCTGGCTTAATAGGTAGGGATCAGAAGTGTTGGGTGGAATCAGTGTCATTGTGCCATATGCCACATGTCACAAGGAGTGTGCCTCTGGACTACATTTATTGTACCCTCAGCAACAACACAAGATAGTATGTTGTGATTTTAAAAATATACTTCCATATTATGAAATTACTGAAAAAGGAATAAGTATTTATAATACATGGGGCTTGAATAGCTTACGAAGTGCATCATCTAGTGATCTGGAAGTAAAACTAAGCATTTACTGCTCAATTATAGGCTTAATCTGAAATACAGGTGATGAAATTTTGTTACTGAGGTAACAAATGAGACATGAAGATCAATTATAAAAGAAAAAAGTTATATCCTTACCTGTTGTTACTGTTGGAGTGAGCTTCTGATTCTATGAACATCAATATTTAGTACTTTATTTCTAGACCATCTTTTTTTCTTGACCATATTTCTGAGGAAGTTCAGGGTAGAGCTTTAATTTTACTGAATTTTTAAAGATAAATTATTTCTGCCTTTGATAGTTAGAGCAATGACCCCTGTCCAATTCTATTGCCCATTTACAAGGCTACTGGATGTGCAGAATGCTCTTTTCTGGACTGAGAATGTTTTAATTAGTTCTTTATCAAGAATATAAAAAGGCATTTCTGTGTTAAATTTTGGAATTGTTAATCAACTAGGTAATGCTTATTTTGGGCCCAATTCATAGCTAATCTCTACTCTGGACTTCAAGTGTTTTTTGTCCAAGTGTTACACATGGACACATTGATTTAATAATTATAACTATAAATATTATGGACTTAATATTTCCTGAGAAATAGGTATGAATTCAAGTAATGTTTACATAAACTCACCATAAAGCTCAGGTTTTGCCCTGAAGATACCAGATCTTGAAGTCATTGTAGGATCCAGCACCATTTTCAGTGAAAGTGAACTTGCTTGAACAGCCTGCAGCATGCACAAGTTATGTAGCTGCACACCGTTTAAAATGGTCTCAGGATAAAATGATACATTTACTCCCTTTACTGTACTCCATATCCATCAGTTGTTCCTGACAACTGCTTGAAATTTCCCAAAACTAGACAGTGGGAGAAAATCTCATAATGAGATCAAAGCAGTTGCTAACATTTAAAACACAGATACAGATATATTTGTTAAAAGTATCTTCAAATAATGGAGTGCCCTAACTATAAAAAGGCATTTTATGCTACCCTTTCCAATTTTATGGAGTTACCACAGTATCTTTTTAGAAATACAAGAAGGCAAACGTAGGAGGACTGGAAAGTATGTTTTAAATGACTAAAGAACTAGCTAAACAAATCATTGTCTCTTCTCATATTAATCACTTGGAACTATTTAAGTTCTTTAAACTTCTGATGCCTAAAACTCATTACAGATGGTATGGCTGGGGGATAGAAACTTCCTTCTGCAGTCTTTAATTAAATTCAGCGTTGGGTGTCCTCTTCACTAGGGCTTATGAGTGGGATTCTCCTCAGCTTTAATCTTTGCTATATACTTCATTTAATATAAACCCTAAATACATTGGTAATGAAAAGTCCTATAAGACACTTTCTTTTGATGTAAAATGGCATATTAATATTTCTCAGGCAAATGCAACGCAGAATTTTAAGCAACATGATGATATTTAAATGCACAGGTTTTAGGTACTAGTTGTACAGGAAACATTCATTTTTACTCTCAGAAGTAAAAATGTTCTTTGTAGTAAAGAATTTAAAGGATAAATGAGAAGAACAGCTAACTGCTTCCATTCTAACCTTGTAATCTGGAACAGTAATGTAGACTTGTGTGTAATTGGAAAGTTCTTGTCTATTATTTGATTTCAGGACATGTATAACTTTTCGTTAGCAATCTGATACTTAAGAGATTCAGTTTTGATTTTCCATCAGATATTCAGCTTCTTTAGTTGTAAAAATGACAGGTATTACTGTGTTTAACCAGCCTGGGGAGAACTGTCCCTGCAAAAGGATGGGCTTGCACTATACGTAATGACTTCTCACCATATTCCCACCTATAAATTGCCACGCATTTCAAAGTCGGTCCTTTTTCCTGGTGCCTGACTGGAATTTTTTGTGGCATCTGTATGCTGAAGCAGTAATTGGACTAGTGTATCTGGACATAGCAGGAAAGGGAAGATTAATGTTACAAGAGAAATAGGAAGTGCGGAGGTAAACTTCATGCAATTACTTGTCAGCATCAAACAAGTATCCTCTTCAACTCTGCTATAACAAGAAGAATCATATTCTTAATCTGACATTACTTTTCTGAGTAATATATGTTCACGTTTGTAGATTTTCTTTTGTTGTTGTTATTACTTAGGCTTAGAAGGAAAGGAATGCTAGTATTTCAGCTCTGTAGTTGCCATTATTTGCATTTTGCTACAAAATTAAGTTTGAGTAAAATTTCTTTTTAAAGATGAGGAACAGGTTAATAGCAAATAGGTGTTAGGTCATGTTCTCTCAGAATAATAGGTGTTAAATTTCTTGTAATTAGCTGTAAATGAGCTGTTCCTTAGCCTTGATTTGGGTAAAATTAAAAATAATGAGTGTGTGAAATTAATCTCTGCCTGTAGTAGAATACAGTAGCTTTGCTCCTGGTGAACGTGCACTTAGACAGTACACATCTTTTTAAAATTGTTGCCAGGGAAAATGAGTAAAAACCTATTATCTGTCAGGATAAATTGAATATAAGGTACAAAAAGAACTTGAAACACTTTTCCCAAGCACAGCTCTCTGGAGCTACCTCTATATTCCTACCTCTCTGTAGTACTTGGAGATATCTATGGAATCATTCAGCCAGAAAAATACTTTCTCTTTCTTTTAAGGGAAAGGTATTTCAGCTGTTAATAGATGCTGAAGCTTCGTATGTCCAAATCATCTTCCATAATTTTGATTTCTACAGTTCATAGAAACTTCATCAATTAAACTGTTTAAATGAGGAATACATAAGCCTTGGGAAAGGGTTGAGCTAGTTGATACCTCCCTGGAGATACCAGTTCAGATCCTGTAAGACCCACTGTGTTTGTGCAGCATCCCTGCTGGATACAAGACCTGCCTTCTGCTGCCCAAGAGTTTAGGAACCTCCAGTGCAAATACAGTCTTTGCAGCTTCTTAACTTAATCAACAGGAAGGAAAACTTTCTTTTGAATAGTTTCTGCTTTTAAACTTGCAATGTTACCTTAAAATTAATCCAATTTAGGCAACTAATGTGCTATACTGGAAAGGTAGTAAATTCAAAATAAATCTTTAAAGAATGCAGTTCCATTTTGAAAACCTTGAAGATGCCTAAGAAAAACACCTGTATTTTTCCAGTATCTTGATAGTAAAGAAAAAAAAAGGAAGAAACTTTGAAAGTTAGCATAGAGCTTAGAAAAGAATATTTGTTTTTTTATTTCATTAAATATTTTTAATATGCAATTAGAACATTCTGTTCTGATGTGTTCTGACATATTAGTTTCACTGTGCTTTGAAAAGAAATAATTTTCATGTCACTAAATATGTAAGTAGTGAAATTCAATAGTAATAGAAGCTAACTAAGAGAAACCTTTGTTAGCCTGTATTTTTGTGTGCGCTTAACAAAAATGAGACACTAAAAACTGGCAGTCTAAAATAGTGCACTATGGAAAAAGTGTTGTTTGTTTTTTTTTTTTTAAATTATTTTTTTTATTTTTCATTTGTTCCTCCTCAGGTGCACTTGGATGTTTCAGAAGATACTTCATGCAGTATTGGTATGGAAGAGCTAACTAGGATCAAGAAATTTGCAAGGGAAATGAAAAAGAAAAATATTTTGGTTTATGGACTCCTTATTCAATATAAGGTATGTAATTCTTTTTCTACATGAAAATAGTCGTCTTTTGTGATTTATATGATTAATGATACAGTATGATTAATTTAAAACAATTTTTTTTGAAGATTCTGGCCTGTTCTTGTTCAAAATTCAGAAAAGCTTGTAGTTATAGGCAAAAATGTAAGCATTTTGGTTAGAGAGGAATAAATGGTGACTTTTTTTTTTTTTCATGAAGCACCCAAAAATGTTGTGACCCTATTTCTGTTTGCTTTTCTGCTTTGAAACTTGCTTTTTGCAGCATTTTTTTTTTTTTTTTTAAATGGTAAAAGTACATTTGATCATTGGTTCTGCAGAATTTTACATTCCTCATCAAAACAGTGTTCCTTGTTCATGTGGCAGAAAGGGCACAGCATATAGGTGCTGAAACAAACAGTGTACATCTCTGCAATAGCAGCAAATTGCCTCAACTGCAGGCAAAAAGGGTTAGTACTCCAACATCCTTTGTACTGACACCTATTTAGTTAAACCATTTTGCCTGGGAACCATGTTCTGCCAACCTGAAAAGTGGGCTGCCTTTGTCTCCAGTGCAGATACAGTCTTAGCAGCTTCTTAACTTAGTCAACAGGAAGGAACAAGTTAGATATTCGATGTAAATTTTAATAAAGAGGAGTAAATGTAATCTGGACTGAATGCTTTGGTGGGTTTTTTTGTTTGTGGGTTTTTTTTTTTTTTTTAGGTTAAGTGTTTGGGTTTTTTATATAAATGATTTAAAATGGCTATGGTTATATACCTTCTTCTGGTATACCAAAGACTTGATTTTTCCCTCCAAATTCTGTGCCTTTATTAAGATCTATAACTATCAATACCTATCAGTTTATGCTTTTGCAGACTTCTGATGCCAACAGAATATGAATAATGCTATTGTGTGACATTAGCTTGTCTTTTGTTTGTACAACATACAAGGGCATACAATTGTTTTCAATCTTCTTTCTGGTACTATCAAACTCCAGAGTTTGATAGCTTTTTTTCCAGACTGAATTCTGGTTTCCTTGGTTAAAAATAATTTGAATAATTATTGAATAAATATTGAATAATTATTTGAGTAATTATTGAAACGTAGTTCTAAGAGGCACATTATCATGGTAACATTGCCAGGATTGCTTTAGTATAACTATAGTTTTTCCTTTTAACCTTAATTGGGAGTGTATATGATTTTATATGCAAATGGATCAAATATACATATGTGGAAAACAACAGTTAGTAAAGCTGACTGGTAAATAACGAAAAAGTTTTATAATCTTCAGTGGATTTTTGTGACTATGGCAACCAAAGATTTTATCAGTAACAGGCATGTGTAACAACAGTATGAGATCTGAATGAATTTCTTGATCCTTGGAGGCAAGAGAATTGTGGCAGAATACTGCCTCCATTTTTTGAAAATAAAAGGCTAGAATGATTATGTAACATCACTGCAGGCAGAGTTATCTTTCATTAGCATGGAAGAAGTATTATATAGAGTCAAACACTTCACAGAGTAAGTAAACTACTAGCTATCTTGTTTTAAAGTGGCTTTAGAGCATGTCTTGCTCGCAAAGATGGGGATATAGTCCCAGTTCCTGCTTATCAGTGTTCTTATAGATGATTAACAGATAGGTTATACAGGTCGTGTGTATATATGTGATATATGTATCAAGTTTTCTTTTTGGCTGTAGATCTGCCAAGAACGTTAATTGTTTCTAGGTAAAGACCTATGGAAAGACTTGACATATGAATCTAGAAATCATGAAACCCAAACTTTATTGCTTGTCTGGGGGAGAAAAAGGGAGGGCACTGTGAATAAAAGCAATTTATTAAAGAAAAGCATCTTCAAAACTTTTTTTTTTTTGGGGGGGGTGGTATTTGATTGTTTTTTGTTGGTTAGTTGGTTGATTGGTTTTTAAATTCCAAAGCATTATTTCAGTCACCAAGGTATTTTTCTTTTGGGACAGCCTATTAGCTAATAGGTGAACCCGTAGGTGATAGAAAGGTGAATACAGACATGACAGGGGGTCCAGAGGAAGTGGAAACACAGAAAGCACCTGCTGCTGTAATGCAGGATACTCAGCCCATTATCGCAATAACTTCTGTCAGTATCTGTTTTCCAGAAGTCTCTTAAAGCTATGGTTTATTTCAGGAAAAGAGTGATGACAGATTACCTCACGGAGCTGCCCTCTAGCTGACAGGTTTATATCATCACTACTAGACACGCACAGTTGATATACACACATTTAGTAATTCAGAAACAGGGATAAAATGTAAGGAATGGGGAATTCATTGAGACAACTGATCATGGTAATACTGAGGTGAAATTATTCTACATTTAGAAGGGTTGTATGATGGAGTGAGTGTGATGGTATGTTGACATAAAGAATATGGAGGCACTCTTTTAAGATTCTGCATTAGAAAAGTGAATTTGTTGAAATAAATATTGTTTGAGATACATAATTGGTTTTTATGTTTTGGAAATGGAAGTGAAATATTTTTGGAACCTAGGAGTACATTTTTTGACAGTATTTGAGGAGATGTGAAGCCCTAAGAAAAAGTATGCTTTCATTTTCATTTCTTAAATGCAGTGTTTATTTGATATTTAGAAAAAGATAAGAAGCATTTCTATGAATATTTGATACTCCAAGAAGCTGATCAGGAAAATGAAAGGAAAAGGCTTTAATATGTTTTATAAATGACCTGCTTTGTACCTTCCATTTGCTCAAAATGTGTGTGTGTTCACAGCTTGTACACAACTGGTCATTTCTCTTATAAACATCATCCATGGAATACAAATTACTGATATTGATGGAAAGATTAGATCCACTTCATAATAGCTCTAGTTTGCATCCTGAAAGTATTGTTGTTTTAAATATCACCTATGAAAATATTTTTAAAGACAATTCTTTTTTAAAACAGTTCTACATGTTCAAAACACAGAGGAGAAAGAGTATTTGGTAAATTCCACAGTCTGATCTTGTAGAGTTAGCTTTTAAGGGGTATTCAGATGAGTTGAAAGAAATAATTGATAAGCAAGGTGAATTAAAAATAGGGAGAAAAGAAGCAAAGTTATTCTTAAATAAGCAAAGTTTTAGTTAAAAGGAGTGTTAAGCATTGCTAAGAAACCAAAGAATATAAAAAGTAATGTCAAGACATTGCATCCATGCAGGGCTGGAAATATATTAATCTTAAAAGTATGTAATTCAAACTACAAGATTTGGGAGGGAACCTCAGCTGCATGTAATTCTGAGCAATAGAATAATACTGAAATGGGCCTTGGCCTCACAAACACATGCATTACAGTCTTTAAACATATGCTAGGTAGTTTTATGGGTTTGTACTTGAATATGACATTAATGCTTTTTAAAAAAATGCTGTTTTCTCTGTTTAATGCTATTCTCCCTTTTAAAATAATGTCTTATGTTTGAATTACAAAAAATAGTCAATACACGTAGAAAGAAAATACAAATAGCATTTCTGCAAATTCAGAACCTTGTAAAGGTTGCAATAATAAAATCTTGGTCTAGAAATTTCAGTAACACATTTGTTACATTTCACAGAGAATAAAAAGGAACAGTTCTCATGCAAAATAAAGCATGCATGAGTGGACATAGGAAGCCACAGAAAGCTTGAAAATATTAAGTAATACTAATATATCTTGGTTATAGAACTGTATTAATTGTAAATAATCCTACTTCAGAATGGCACTGACAGAATGTCGGGTCAGAACAGGATATATGTGCTAAGGCTTGCTTGGGGTAAGGTGGCCCCAAATACTTTTGCCTCTGAAATTGCTATTTGATTTATGTAAAGGAGCTATTCACCTACAACCAGAAAAATCACAGTCCATACTCTAAAAAGAGACAAATGACATGATAGAATAATTATGAAGCTGCTTGAAACTCGAAGGAAACTGACTATGGGTGATTTCTTATGCAAACATACTGGACATTTATTGTAGTCTTTAAGACTTTATGAATATAGTAGGCCCACCTACAGTGGGCTTGATGGCTCAAGAAACACTTAGAGTGCTAAATGTATTTTCTGTCTGACTTGGTAAACCAAAAAAGTAAACATTTACAGCTTTCTTTTACATCAAAGGTCCCTTAAAAATAGTATTATGTGCAGACATTAAGGCAGCGGTTCTAAAAACGGGGATCACAGCCCTGAATGTGATCACCCAAGTGGCAAAATAGAAAGTATTTTGGCAACCAGTGGTGAGATAAGGAACTTGAAGGGCAAATGAAGTAAAATCACAAACATGCTCTCCATGACCCCTCCATGCTTCTGAATTAATCTAATAATCAATATAAAATTGGTCAAATGACTGCGATCTGATGAGAATGAGTGGGATGCTGCCTGGAGACCTCTCTCTGTCTCCTCAAGATGACAGTTTTGTAATTTCAGCTGCAATGACATAATAGACTGTAATGGATCTGGAAACCTACATCTATTCATAGAAGTCATTAATGCCAAGTTATTAGTATTTTCAAGAGCCAGAAACTCAACTTTTGAGTAGCATGATCCTGCAGACTATTCACTCTTTCATCAAGGAAAATTGGGGAAATGAGTGATGAGCCAGAGTGATGTTGCTTGCACAGAGCGTTTGACAGAGGGAAGCCACATCCAGTTTGAAACTTTCTACATGAGTAACCTCATAGAAATCAGTTTATTAATACAGAAGCCTAGTGGTCATTTAGTAAAACCAGAGACTGATATTTATGGACACTGGATATGTGTGTTTAATATGTGGATACGGAGACTGGGCACTGTTTAATCATTACTTATTACTACTGTCTGCAATCAGTCATGCGTATTTTGCAATAGTTAGAACTGACATGATGAAAAAGGCTTACACTGACTTCTAAAAACTACAAGTAACTTGATGCAATTTTCAGCGAATAAAAGATACAGAACTGGGGGTTCTATTAACTTGATACTCACGAATTCAAACATAAAACTATCCTTTTCCCTTGGGAATGGCTGACACAAAAATAGTGAGATTT